ACGTCGCTGGGAGCCGCGCTAAACGGCGCCCACAGTAAGTTCTCCACGCCGGAGGCGGATGGAGCATCACCGTTGTTCACCCAAACCATCGTCAATTCGGTAGGTGCTCACAAGTCTCCCAAGCAGGGAGGACCAGATATAACGTAAGACACCACCGTGGGCGCTCTTTAGTATATCGCATCGGAAGCACGAGTAACCAATGAGTTCAGATAACTGGGTTTGTGACTGCATGCGGCCATGTCTCTGCGTGTCTCACTAGGTCTGGCTACTCAGATGCAACGAAACAACAAAGTTCATCGCACTTATTCATGACACTGCAAACGTTTGTGAAGGCTACTCGCAGACCGAAGTAGAAACCGCCGGGCGTGCTTGATGTGTGAGCAGCCCGTTTATCCTGATTCGCAGATTGTTGCCAACCACCAGAAAAGTTACGATACGAAGCTTGGTTTCCCCTCACCAGTGCGTCTTTTCAGCTCAAAGATGCCAAACATGTGCCGCAGCCTGTCTACTAGGTCAGGTCTGGACGAGCATGGAGCTTCAAACCTTTCAGCCTACTTGGATGGGACCTGCTCAGCATTGGACTGGCTTCATCCACAAATGTGATTCTCCTAGGCCGCTTTCGTTGATCACCTTGCTTTTCAAAGCAGTACGTTGCCTCACTTTTACCGAGTCTGTCAATTAGACCCCTTAAAACTCGACATCGTGCTCGTAGCGCATATAGTGTGATGGATCACTGGACTGCGGTGCTTGAAATGGCACGAGAATATAACACCTCTGCTCGGACGAGGTTGACCTGGCTGGTCGAGGTACACTACAAGCCTCAAGTGGCTTGGCTAACTACTGACTTACAGAGCTTAAACGCCCAACGTCCCTTCGTAATTTCGTTCTTCTTCTTTCCACTGGTCTTCAGCACTCATACTTTTACCTGCTGGGATAGCAGGGTCCGTTGGACACAACAAAGGTAAACACTTTATGCCAGGCGCGGCTAGGCTCTTCACAAAAGTTGGACTTCCTGTCGGTGAGTGCACGGGTAGAGGCGGATGACTGAGCTGAAACCTGAAGGCTATTCGGGCTAGTTTGTATGGCCAAAAACACGGAGCTGTTCGCAACGGAACGCTGAGGCCTACTCGTCGGCTTTACTCTTCCTGGCTGTATCTTATTTCAGAAATTTTCACACACAGTTTGGAGGAAATCGTGTTGGACCTCGCGAAGGCGCTGAAAATGCTCAACTGATAATCCAACACATGAAATGTGGTATTTAACTTGGCACAAAACACACGTGAGGGCATTTGCACGGTATCCGACTAGTTTGGAGCAAGTACCACAGAATGACTGCTTCGGCATTGTGAATGATCCAATAACAAGATGGCGGCCAATTGACGGAGAAAATTGCGCTAGCAAAATCGCGGCAGCCAAACGATGAAACACAAGTACTTCTGGTCGAAAATTTCAAAAGCGGAACTGAACCTGGATTGCATCTAAATTTCCGCGAAATAATTCAAGTGAACGAAAAAGCTAACACAAGGTGCTCTTGGCAACACAGCCCAAACCCGGCACAGTAGGCCAGAGTAGAATCAAGCGGCGCGATGACGCAAGTATAACGAGGCAAGTATAAGCAACAGAAATGTGTACACCTTTTTGCATTTTTGTAAAAAAGGTTGGGTATTTTACGTTTCGCAAAACCGTGGTCAGCGAAACACACGCTTCTCTTAAAACGTGCACATATGCATATCAGTAGATATAACAACAGTTAACAAAAGCTGAAAAGCGGGGCTAAGATCCGTCACTATCCACCATGTCGGTCAGGTGAAATGGTTGGGTTGGAGGGCGGGCAAGCATAACAGAGGGGTCTAGGATGCGTGGTGCTGAAGACGCTTTTGCCCGTGAGTTTACGTTTGAGGCTATATCAGGTAAGCTTACGGAGCGGATCTTCGAGAAATTCTACATAGACAATCGATAGACACAATTGTTCAGTGACTATGCTCGTCTGAGTTTAAATGCTCGGCGGCGCGTTAGAGAAATATGAAGGGTCCGGTGTAGGAGGGCTTAAGTTTAGGGTTCACGGCGTCTATGCGGGCGAAACCGTGAGTGTAGGTGACGAGAGGCAGTGCATCCACAATTCACTGGGCTGCGCACGCGGTGTCGAGCGCAGCGAACGCATGCGTTGAGGAAGGAAGGCAGCGAAGTTGGACGGTGGCATTTACGATGACGGGTGGCCTGATGAATTCGCCTGGCAGCTTAAGTGTTTTGCGGTACACTAACTCAGCTGGAGAGCACAGAAGGTCAGCTTCGACACTGCTGCGAATACGCAGCTGTACTAACGGTATGTGTTCGCTCCAGTCAGAGTCATAAGTAGCACTGAGACATGACTAACGCTTTCAAAGGCGGCTTTCGACCGGGCGGGTTCCCGCATGGGAACGTGCCGTCATGTAGACACGGCTGGAACCTGGTAACTTGCAGAAAGTCGAAGTACGAGGGTTCAGATACATCCCAGGTTCTGTGGTGATGTTGGATTTTCATCCGCAGCGTGACGACCAATAGTTCAAAAACGCGCCGATGACTGTTTTCGTCGAGGCGTGGGGTACAGGTTTGGCTTCCGAGCATTTGTGGAAGCGAAAAGTACATGACAGAACGTATACGAATCGGAAAGCGTAAGGCAGGGGCTTACGTATTCTAAGTGTGCGTGTGAGCATCGCAAATCCAGAGCGCGGAATGAGCCGAGGAGACAGCGGGTGTGTCGGTGTTCCTTAAAGAGCTGGCCGTAGACGCCCGCTCGTGCCCATTTACGAAAATCTTGGTTTAGGTTTTGCCTAACAAATACGCCTGATATACCATTTTAACTATGCACAGATACTAGAGTGAGATAGTGGGAGTAAGGTCTCGAAGGCTGTGCGTCTGCACCAGATGGGCATGACGGGTCACGAACAAATATCGGAAGTTCGCAAAGGATAAGTCCGTCCGAAGTTTGGAGAGAAACTGTTTGCACAAGCGGTAAACTGAACAGTAGTGTATCCTGCAGGCCTTCGTCTTGGGTCTGGGCCGATGCCAGGGCGACGTTGCTGCCGGTAGCCAGCGTAAAGCGTGTGGTTGACACGAGAGAGAGAGCATCAGCAACGGGGTTTGAGACACCAGAAACTAGAGGTATGTTTGCAAGAAATTTCTTGATAAAGTCTAGGTAGCTGGTTTCCCATGGTGAACAGCTTTCAACCGGTTAGTTAACAACAAACCTGAGGCTTGTGATTACTCTAGACCGAGAAAGCATGACCTTCTAAGGTACGCCGGCAATGACAGAGCTATGTAGAGGGCCACTAGCTTTCTGCCAAACGCGCTGGAGCGGGATGATATTACCTGAACTATTCAACGTAGGTGAACAAATGACTGACGTTGGCTGAAGGAGGAACTATAGCGTAAGTGTACTCGAATGTTCTATTGTAGTTCTTTCCTTAGATTGTCTTGCCTCCGCGCTCGAAATTATTAGGTAACGGTCCTCTACACACCTGTCACAATGAATATCATTTTCTACAAAATCCCTGCGGCTACGCTCACCAAAATAAAATGGTGTCCGTCGATTTCATGACCGTCATAGACACCGAAACTACACAAAATTGTTACGTTCAGGGTCATACGATCAGGATACAACGCGATCATAGGAGTGCACAGAAACGCGCGGAAGTATAAAATAACAAAACAACCTATGACAAGACAAATGCTGTAACGAAGGCACGGGTATTAAAAATTTGGCATCAGCAACCACCAAAAATAATGCGTCAATGTACAAATCACGAGGTCCATCAAGAAAGTGAAGATTGATGATAGATTATGTCATACGTAGAAGCGCACACTGCGTGACCACAAGATGAAACATTGGTGAGACCGTGTGTCCGACTTAGCTTGGCAGCGGAAAGCTTTTAAGACAATACGAAAATGGACACTGTGTTCGCACAGTGTTCTACAAAAGCTGTTCCCAATTTGAGTTGGAGAAAAATTGTAATCCATCCAAGGCATCTATCCTCCAGATCACTTCAGCCGGAAGAGACTTGCGTTTCATTACCCAGACGAGTCTTTCCGTATCCGCTTCCTGCAGGAAACAGCTGCCGCTGCTGCTAACCGCATGGTGGGATTGCTGAAACGACCCTAGCAATTTCCGTCTCGTCCTCAATGCTTTGCTTCAACCCCACTTAGAGTTTGCTATTCAAGATTGGAGCCCCTGGTTGTTGAAGGACCAACGCATACTCAAGGCCCCACAAAGTCGAGCAACAAAACTGGACCGATGTCTTAAGCACCTAGATTATCCACAACTTTACCGCCTAGGGCTCTACTCGCTTAAGTACCGACGTCTACGGGGCGACCTGAGCCTTGTATTTATGATCTTATCTAACCCTGGACATCCTTGTCACCACCTACTCACACTGAACCAATAGTGCCCCCACCTACGCGGCCACCCACAGGCTCACACATCAGCACAGTCGGCTGAACTGCAGACGACACTACTTCGCTTTGCGAATCTGCCGACCGTGGAATGCCCTGCCTGCCGATTTAATCTTGGCACCCACCGTGGCGAATTTTAAGACCCGCCTGGACTGTCATCTGGCCAAGCTACACAGCGATATTCCCTGATATGAGTACCTTCTACTTCATGAGGTTTCTTTGCTTTATTTTGTTCGACCTAATTCCTTTCCATAGCCCTTTCGGAGGGGGTGGTGCGATGACACGCTTTGAGCCACCGTGCATTCTGTTTAAATGCAGCATAAGTCCGATGGAGATACGGCTAACACGCGAGTCCAACCCGCAACAAAGATGCTTGGCCTTCAGTAGAGCTGACCCGAACTCTTTTAACCCTATGGGTCATATAAAGCTCGAGATTTTATACCATTAAATACAATGTTCCAATGACCGTGCGGAAAGCACGGCTAAGGAATATAAATAAAGAGGTTTGAATTAAGACAAATGCGGTTTCCTTATGCAAAGATGGAGAGACGCACTACAGAAGGATGTCTTACATTGTGGTTCAGTCATTTAATAACCAGAAAGACAGGACACAGCGTATGAAATCCTGGTGAGTGCGGTGCAAATCGGAAACACACGATCGCTATCCGTAGAAAATAGGCTGCGATTAAAAGAATTCTAAACGGTTATTATAAAGTAAAAATGTGGATTAAATGTGCTAAGGAAAATATATTTCCAAACATAATTGCACATTGCTCAATTCCAATTGTTTGTAAGTGGATGTAAATAACTTAAGTAAATGCATGGGAAGTGCGTACCGGGACGATAAATATACATTTTGGAATACATTGCAACAGTTAAATATTGAGAACAGGAGCGAGATCGCTTGGCAATTACCTCGGTTCCAAATCAACACAAGGCAGTCGCTTGCTGTCGTGAAGAGTTACCACATCGGAGATCATCACCTTTGAAGCAAGAATTAAGAGCAGCAGGTTCCTGCTTTATGCGTTAGATGTAGTTCAGATTCAAACTGTAAGCTTTTCTTTATGCGATTCAAAGTTATTCCGCGTAAATAGATAAATGCTTTTATTTATCTAATCTAGATAAAGGCATTGGAAAAATAACAACTATCTACCATTCGCTAATAATACATCCGAACTACTTAACATAATTTTTTACGCGTTTAATGCAATTTCACCTTTGCTTTGTATGTCAATTAAACTCAATTGTAACCCAACCACATATAAACATGTTCTTTAACATCTGTAGCTTTTAGCTGTATTGTGAAATGAGTACTCGTAAATAAATGAATAAACTTTTATTCTCGACAAGGTGAGGCACACCTTTACAGGCATGATCATGCTAAGCTAACATGGTGTGATCAAAAGTGTACAAAAAGTACATTTTTGGCATAACAGTGTATGTAAGTGTATGAGTGTATATACGTATGTAATTTTGTATAAAATGTAGTTTGTGTCTTTGAATATGCCGGATCATTTTTGACTGTTTGTTATCCTCAGGAATGTGAGCAATAGCGATTGATGTCTGTGGGTTGGATAGCAGTTTCCGGATATCCACGGGCCAGTGCCTTTATTTTGTGGCGAGTCACATTCGCCACGTCGCACTGTTGTTAAGCAGACATTTGTGGCTTTTTATAGGGAGAACGCTTGCAAGGCGAAAACCCACCACGTCCTGGAACACTGCCGCCGAACTAGTTGCTGGAACGGGTTAAACCCGAACCACCCAGCTGGCACCACGAGGAGGTTGTTAAATAAATAAATAAATAAATAAATATTTTATTCTCGACAAAGCGAGACACGCCTTTTAGGCATGATCAGCACATTGCATTATTGTACATGATAGCGGAATAAGCAGCACCAACAGTGGGAGTAGTAAAGTTGAAGACAGTAGTGTGGGCCCATAGAGCCCAAAGGTTGTATGTAGTCTATGTACACAGAATGCGAGAGGTAAAAATAGTGATCAGATCACTTATATGGTGTGTTGATGAGGAACTAGTCCGATGAGGTCCCGTAAGCAATGTAGGTCAGTGAGTGAAGTATGAGGAAACGGGTGGAAAATGCTTAAGAATAGTGGTATGTCACTAGTCAGATTTGTAGGCGTGTTCATGCGAGAGCCGGGATATGCACAGAACTTGTAAATGTGGTGTCAATCAACTTGCCAATGTGTTAGGGGCGGTGACTTTATTGAGTGGCGAGTCACATCCGCCACGTCGCAGTGTTGTTAAGCAGACATTTGTGGCTTTTTTGTAAGGAAAACGCTTGCCAGACGAAGACCCACCACGTCCTGGAACACTGCCGGCTATTGATATACATTGGCAAGGTGGTATCTGACCGAGTACCCTGGCGGATATTCGCAGTCACGCAACGCCAATTTGTTTCCTATGGCTGTGTAGTCGCCTTCGGAGTCCATTACAAGTGGTTGGAGCTGTTGAAGTCGGACGACTCAGGTGACTTGTATTGAATTGATCAGTTTCCTAGGTTCTTAAGTGTGTCATGATTATGAAGTGCGGGTTTCTCTTTGTTCTTTATTGAATCCGTGTCCATGGGAGCGTTGCAGGTACGTCTTCAGCGGTGTTCGGTGCAGGTAATGTTATCCTGTAGAACAAGGGTGAGAAGAAAAACGGACCGAGCAAACAGCCAACAAAATTGAATAGGACTATGTCATTGTATAAATATAAAATTTATGGTAAAGATGTGCTGGCTGAAATCAATGGAGTGACCGATGAGCTGATGCTAGTGGTACCTATACCGCCAAAGAATAGTTGCGATATGAGCGAAGAGAGACGCCAAACAAGAGGGGAAGACGTTAATGTGAGCTGAGATGCATGATAGTGGAGCCGAGGGGCGAAAGTCAATCAGAGACCGGAAATTCGGATTTCGGTAGGCGTTACCAAGCATAGAGATAATGATTCAGACAAAGAAGAGTATCAAAAGGTTGTAACTTATACCAATGAGAACTTGAGTCGCTGGCAGCCGATGCTCAAACTAATAGAGGCCTTGGCTTGAGACCTATGGGCATTTGGAGCCTCAGAGGACTGACTTGGCCAAAATGTTTTGGAATGAGACGCACAGAAGTAATGGTAACCAGAAGAGACCTGGGATGTTGCGCTGACGCTAGTGATAACTATACCGCCATTGGACTGTTGCGATATAGACCAGAAGAGAGGCAAAACACGAGAGAGGGACGTAATTGTGCGCTGAGAAGCATGAGAATGGAGCCGAGAGGCAAACCTCAACCAGGGACCTGAGATTGCAATTTCCGTAGAACGACCAAGCATGCAGATAGTGTGTCAAATGGATGCGAGCACATAAGGCAGTTAATTATACCAGTGAGAAAATTAATCGGTGGCATCCGATCCTCAAAAGAAGAGAGGCCTTGGTTTGATGCCAATGGGCATTTGGGGACTGAGAGGCTGGAGTAGTCGAAGAGGTTTAAAAGTGAGTACCACAGTAGCAAAGGGAAGCAAAGGAGGCCTAGGATGTTGCGCTGACGCTAGTGATACCTATACCGCCATTGAACTGATGCGAAATGGACCAAAAGAGAGGCCGAACAATAGAGGGGAACGTAATTGTGAGCTGAGATTCATGATGGTGGAGCCGAGGGACAAAAGTCAATCAGAGACCTGAAATTGCAATTTGCAGGCGACCAAGCATGCAGGTAATGAGCCAGTATCATGAGGCTGTTTCTTATGCCAATGAGAACTGTAATCGATGCTCAAAGGAAGAGAAGCCATTGTTTAAGACCTATAGACATTTGGAGCCGGAGAACGGTGCGGTCCAGGAGGTTTAAGAGTGCGTGGCGCAGTAGGAAAGTGGATCAAATGTGGCCTAGTATGTTGTGCTGACGCTGTGGGAACCTAAACCACCATTGAACCGATACGATATGGACCAGAAAAGAGGCCAAACAAGAGAGGGGGACATAATTGTGATCTGAGAAGCATGAGAGTGGAGCCGGGAGGCAAAATTCAACCAGGGACCTGAAATGTCAATTTTGGCAGAGGAACAAAGCATGCAGGTAATGTGCCAGACTGAGGCGAGTACAAAAGGCAGTTAATTATAGAGATGAGAACGTTTGCCGACGGCAGCCGATGTTTGAATGAGAGAGGCCTTGATTTGAGACCGATGGGTATAGGAGCCTGAGAGGCCGGACAAGTCCAGTAGGTTTAAGAATGAGTGTCACAGTAGCAAAGGGGATCAAACGAACGCTAGTAAGTTGCGCTGGCGTTAGAGGTACCTATACCGTCATTGAACGGAGGCGATATGGACCAAAAGAGTGGGAGACGATACTTGTGAGCTGAGAAGAATGATAGTGGAACCGAGAGGCAAAAATCAATCAGAGACCTGAAATTGCAATTTGCAGGGGTCCAAGCATATTATAATGTATCAGACGGAGGCGAGTACATGAGGCTGTTTTTTATGCCAATGAGAACTTGAATCGATGTTGAAAGGAAGAGAAGCCTTGGATTGAGACCCATAGTCATTTGGCAGGCAGCCACTCTTTACATTGATGTCAGGCCACTTGGACTTTGCTTGTGACCTTGAAGTACAGTACTTGACAGATTAAACAAGTGCCATTTAATGTACTCTAAGTAACATGCTAAGTAATTATACATTTTTAATTCTTAACATTGATTGCATTATGAAGACCTAGGGTGTTCTAACGGCAAGCTTTCCTGCATTTATGGCTTTTGGCATCGCTTCTTCCTGTGCATGGTTCAATCGGAAAGGAACAGGGTGTGTACTGATTTTCAACCGTTGCTGTAACAAAACGTTCCACTTACCTTTTGGGAACGCGTTTTTGTGCCAATAAAGCACAAGCATTATAAAATTGGAGCCCAGGTGCACCTCGTTTTGCATGCAGCAAATACTTGGTAACTTACCGGCGTAACAACTCTTAGCTTGAACATAGCTCATAGGTAAACTTGCGGAAAATGCCCCAGCAGCAGTCTAACAACAGGGCAGGTCCAACAAGGTTAGACAATTTCAGTAGGATGACAACGTCCCTAGAACAGCTTTGTCCTGCATGTTCCAACAATCCTGGAATAGAATTGAACCCAGTTATGTAGAGTAACTCGATCACGGTTGCCATATATAATGTGGGTTGTTGCACAGAGTGTGCCAACCAAAAGGCGTATACGCTTAATGCCAAAGCGTAGCAGCTTAATGCAGTCGATTCTTGTTGTTCTTTTTTCTGCAGTATAATACTTCCAGATACGTAGGATAGCTATTGAAAACGTAACTGCAACACACAATTATACTCCACGGCTGTGCACCCCAACGCGGTTTCAATAGCAGTTTGGCTATCCGCAAGACCGGGTTGTGCCACTATGGCTGTTTAGTTTATTCTTGTTCCAGCGTACGGTAAGGCACAGTTTTCCAGGATGCGGTTAGTAATCGAGATGCAACCTTTGTCCCCATAAAAACCCTCAGACGTCGGTTTAACAACACCGTGCCGTGGCGGATGTGCCTCGACAGTAACTAACAGCACAATAGCTCACCTTCCCGGAAAAGGATACTCATTTCGCGAAAGTCGGATAAGTTGAAGGTTTTCTTTATGCCCCACATATAACGACGAGCAGGGAGAAAAATGCAAATTCAGATTCTTTAGGGTTCTGACTGAATTTG